GCTGCAATGGTGAACCGAAAGGCGGTCTTGCGCTTGGTGGCGTCGCTGAGATCGCTCATTTTGCTCTCAAAACAATCACTGGCTTGTGTTTAAAGTTCTTCCCTGTGGGAATTGTGCACAGGCAAATTCCAGAATCAAATTTCCTTGTGTGCGCGTTTCTATAGCGCACAGGGAAAGTCCACAAGAATTTTGTGTTAGCAAAATCGCTCTATTGTTCACTGCCAATTATTCACGAATTATTAGAAAGGTCTTGCATCCCATCCTTACATAATCCTCATCCTCACAATTCCGACAATTCATGGCGTGGAGATAATGATGCAGACACCTGGTTTTGTGTTTTGCAAATCATTGGCGTCCGTGTCATCACAAATCTTCCGGATATGGTTTCGGGGTTTCTGAAAATTCCACCTGTTTCGCGCCAAACTGCGGCGCGATGGCCTTCTTCCAGAAGGAACTCGTACTGCTGCTCGCAGTGTCCAGGACGCGACGCCAACTCGAGATTATTCTTGCACTGTTGGCTCACGAGTCGTGGAACGTCCATTAATCCCGGCTGTTCGCTTCTCGATAACCGCAATGACGGACGCGAACGCACTGTTGGATTATCGGTTCGACGTCGCCGGCATCAAAGAGTTGGCCTTGCCCTTGGTCTACCCGCTGTAACTGTCACCGAGACGAGAAATCGAGTTCACCGAGATGAAGCAATGTGCATCATGCTGGGCCGTTTGACTTTTCCGGTTCGCCTCCACACCATGTCGACAAAGTTTGGCAGATCACGATCCTCCTTGTGCGAAATCTTTCTCCACGTCATCAACGAACTATACGACCGGTGGGGCTCGCTGCTCTACCTTAACAAGAAGTTGCTTGCCCAGAACATGGATCGGTACTGTGACGCTGTAACTGCCAAGGGGGCGCTGTTGTCCAACTTGTTCGGTTTTATCGACGGCACGAAGCTCCAGACGTGCCGCATATCCTCGACCGGCAGTGGCGAAAACTTGCAGCGGCAAGTTTACAGTGGTCACAAGCGAATCCACTGCCTCAACTACCAGGCAGTGACGGCACCCGATGGCATTTGCTTGTACTTTTTTGGTCCCGTTGAAGGTCGCCGACACTTGATGGAACAATTCGCGAATGATCGTTCCTTTTTGAAGGTAAGGTCATGTATGGTGATCCCACCTATGGCATTATGCCATTCTTGCTTTCTGGCTTTAAGGGAAACAGTTTGACGGCAGAGAGACAAGAGTTCAATAAGTGGATGAGTCGAGTTAGGCAGTCCGTGGAATGGAACTTCAAGATGTTGAAGTCGTTGTGGGCAATCATCACGTTCAAGACGTTGTCAAAGATTCGACTATCGCCGGTTGTAATTGTCGTTGCTGTTGCGATGCTTTTGACTAATTGCCATTGCTGCCACTTTGAAGGAAATCAAATCAGCCAGTTCTTTGGGTTGAAGCCGCCAACAGTTCGAGAATATCTAGACACATTGGAGAAAATTGACATCTAATACAGTTTGTGTTTGCTTGTCATCGACATACCTTATAGAGACACTTACAGCACGTCTTAGGATTATGATTTATTTATCATCATCCTGATCAATGTGTTTATTGATTCTTATTGCTGGCGCATTTGCTCTGCCATGATCTCGCGGTCCTTGCGTCGTTCTTCGTATTCTTTGTCGAACTTCTCCTTCTGCAATTCAAGTTCTGCCTTGGCTTGTTCATGCATGAGGGTAAATACTCTCATGAAATTACCTCCACCAGCACCACTATCTGACTCGTCCCTCTCACACTTCCGCTTCCCCATGGACTTCATGGCCTCGGCTCTTATAAAGCTCCCCATTGCTTCGGCATGGTCAGCAGCCTCACGGGTTTCGTCCGCCCGCTGAGCCTCGACCACTTTGGTGTCGTCGTACGCAACCATTAAGTCGTCCAGAAGAATCGTCTTCTCTCCGACTTCTTCGGACACACCAGACGCGCGTTGGGACTCCTTGTTGGTTCTGCGGTGGCCGTCCAACAACAGCATGAAGCGATTGCATGCACGTTTGGCGTCGATGTCGTCCCGGGTGAACTCGCCCGAACCCAGCAGCGACGGCTTCCCACCGTTCCAAAACTTGACCACGGCGTGCCTGGAAGGGCATTTCAAGCGATACCTGGCGCAGTAACATGATGTCCTCCTGCTCGGTAAAGTTGCGTCGCTTGGTCTGTTGACATGCCTTCGCTTGTGAGGATAAAGATGGAAGTCACCACAGCACACGAAATCCAGTGAAATTTCATTCGTTTTTACAGTATCATTAACAATGTTCTGGAGGCACACTTCCGATTTTGTCAATTCCTCAGGGGGTGGTGATAATGATGAGTTGCAAAACCTTTCTATTAATCTCCATATTCGACAATCTGCCACTGAATGTGGTAAAGTGGGCGTCCATGATGCCAGTTCGAGTCCACAGTTCGTCACTGTCGACTGCGCCGTAGACCGCCACGCTTCCTTGGCCTATCCCATTGCAACATCAAGAGGTACTTCATATAACCGGTCATGTCGACCGGCAACGACCTCGTTGATCTGCTCTAGGGCATTTTGAAACCGGCGGTGCTTGATCTTGGCCATGAAAGCGGCGATGATTCCAGCGTCTTGGGGCTGCAGATAGGCTGTCGTATTTGGTGGCAGCTTCTTGACACGGATGTTGGACAGGGGCGTGGTCTCCAACACCAGGTGCGGCGGGGCATTGTCGACAAGCATCAGAGACCAAATGCTTGAGCTGGCCACAAGGCCAAGGCAGAGTAGGATACATTAGGCTCCCTTAAATGCTTCGCATGTACCTCATGCATCTCCACAAGAGACATCCGCAACTTCATTTTGCTTGGCATGGCTCGTTTGAATTGCTGTACTCGCGTTCAAAAGGTTGAAAACCCCTCTGACATTCAATATTTTAAATTTATAGAAACCACCAAATTCGCCCCGTTCGGTTAGCGGGGGGAAATCAGTATGTTGGGCACTGGTGCAAGTACGAAATATATGCTGCCCAAGTTGAGTACAGTGAACCGGAAGAGAAATCGCGAGCGTTGTACTCGCGAGTATTTTGTAGTTTGTATGCATCAGGTTGACTCATGGTCAGCGAGCGAACAATATTCATGGATGATGGTACCCATCAAATTCTGACATGAGGCCACTGATTGGCCAACACTAGATAGAAAATGTGCAATTTTTCTTCGTGACAAAGACGGGGATGGACCGAATCCTCAACCAATTGAAGTGATCAGTACCCCTATTTTGCAAGCGAGGACAGGCATAGAATACAGTGAACCCCGGAAAAGTTGACACCACCAAAATTGCCGACCACATCCAAGACATGATCTGTTACATAGAATTCCACCCCCTGCATACTTCAATACCAAGTCAGAAACTCATTCATTTTGACCAACTGCAGTGTAGATACATAGGAACCGTGATTGACTGGCAGAAATTCTCCTGAGTATAGCCAATAAAGTTGGACTGACTCAAGCAATTAAAAAAAATTGATTTCATTCTGCCTCCATATATGATGATACCGTGTCGGCTCTTTCCGGCCTTCACCGTACCTCCGCGACATTTGGCGTGGTGATTACGGTAAGCTAGCTAAGGGTTAGCTGACCTTGTCAAAGCAGCACATTGCGTGTGAGGGGTGAAGGATTAGCATGGGATCCCCATCAGGATAGTGCGACACAATTTTTATACAGAAACAATGTGGTGCTCATACATTTATCCATACTTTTCTATTCAAGAAGATAATGGCAAATGCCAGTTCGGCATCACAAGTGAAAAATGCCATCTCGAACTGTTTCATCCACGTTTGCCATGTAGAACGAGGTATGCCCTCGATCGCACAAATCGCAATCGAGCTGAGTTTGCATTTTTCGAACGCATGGAGGAGCTGAACCCTTGCTTTCTTAACTGTGCAACGGCGATGAGCGCGCTTCGGAAGGACGGAACTAGGCATTTTAGTGTTTGACAGTGCCTCAAATCAACCAATTAGAGACCTCTAATTTCACATTCTATATTTGTCCATTCATGGACTGACATTGAGTCTGAACCAATCAGAGATCACGAAAGTCGCTGAAGCATGTTTAGCCAATCATGGACTAAGAAGCATTTTTTCTTCTGGTCTTGTGTGTGAAAATTACTAATCCCATTGCAAATTTAATGATGGTACAACGCTTGCGAGTTTTTTCCCGGTTCACTGTACATTGCAAAAGTGTATGAAGCAGTACGTGAAGGCATTTTACACTCGTGATGTCGAACTGGCATTTGCCATTATCTTCTTGAATAGAAATGTATAGATGAATGTATGGACATCACATTGTTTCTATATAAAACTAGTTTTGCTTTAACCTGATGGGGATTGTGGGTAGAACTGGATCTCTTGTTCTTCTCTCTTGGCAACAGCATCATAAATTTCGATTTAACATTTCACGCACATGTTACAATCCACGATATGATCGCTCAACATGTTACTCCGGGCAGATACATTGTTTGTAAAACCAGATCTACATGGATTCGTCGGGTCTTATGTCCCCCTTTCGTTGCGAATGGAACCACCTCGAGTCCATACACGCGACCCCGAGTATAGTATCGACATACGATAGAGATATAATCAATCCACGCCGACAGCACCAGTGCCTAACGTTGTCGTAAGCGCTGTGACGTCTTGCTTGCAGCATTCCAAAAGGACAGTGTTGCGTCACTGCAAGCGTCAGAAACTGATAAGCATACACGGAAGTTGACCAGCTCTTGCAGGATCTCGCGGACATGGCACTCTCGTCATTGTTGTGCATCAAAGTCAAAGAATTGTATAGATTGAAGCTGAACAATGCAAGAAACGTGCAAGCACGGGCGAATGAGCAGGCATGAAGTCCGCCA